TAAATGCAAGTGAAAAGTAACATTCTTAGTGTTTTTATTGATTTTATCCACCTAGTTTGAATGAATAAATTTACTGGCAGGTGATCAGCACAAATGAATCATAGCAGCAGTGACTGTGGCTCTCCACGGGGTGGGGCTGTCTGCCTGCAGCAACTGGGTTTGAACTGGGAAATGTGTTTTACATGTTCACAAGTTTATCTTTGCAATTTCTTGCAGGGTATTGAGTTTTAGATTCCAACGATCGATAAGAATTCAACACAACTTACCAGAATGTGTATATATTACTGGCCAAAGGTTTTGGAACACCCTAATTTTTAAAATTTTAACATTTAAACTGTTCAACTCCTATGAATAACCTTAAATGGTACAGAGCTAAGAACCAACTGCCAGAGATTTTAAAAAAAGTTGTCAAAACTATGTAAATTCCATGTACAACCCCAAATCAGAAACAAGCTGGCATGGTATGTAAAATCAAAATTAAAACTGAAAATAGTGGTTTGTAAATCATCTGTGTCCTGTATTACATTCAAGACAATACAGAAGCCATTATTCTTTATTCAAAATAAACACTCACTTCAATTCTGATGCTGCAACACATTCCAAAAATTTTGGGATGGCTGCATTTTAGGGTTAATGAGGTAAGACAATGAAATGATGATTCCATTTGAAACAGGTGATGTCAACAGGTGTTTGCAATAATGAAGTGGCATCCAGGAAACGCCGAGCCCTTTAGGAGAAAAGATGGGCTGAGGATCACCAGTTTGCCAGCATGTGTGAGAAAATTATCGAAATGTTTCAAAACAATATTCCCAAAGAAAGATAGGAAGGGATTTGGATATGTCACCCTCTGTGGTGCATAACAGATTCAAGGAATCTGGAGGGATTTTAGTGTGTAAAGGGCACAAGCCTAAGCTGGATGACAGTGCTCTCTGATTCCTCAGATGGCACTGGATCAAGTCGTCACTCTTCTATAAGCGATATAACCACATGGGCTCAGGATTACTTTGGCACACCTGTGTCAAGCACTACAATATGTAGTTACATTCATAAATGCTGCTTAAAATCTGGGATGGACCATCACACAGTGGAAATGTGCACTGTGGTCAGACCAATCAGTGTTTCAGGTCTTTTTTTGGAAGGAATGGATGCTGTGTGCTCTGGATCAAGAACGAAAAGGACCATCCAGACTGTTACCAGCAACAAGTCCAAAAGCCAGTCTGTCGTGGTCTGGGGTCATGCCAGTGCCCTTGGCAAAGGTCACTTACACTTCTGTGATGGCTCCATTAATGCTGAACAATACAGAGAGATGTTGGAGCAACACATGCTGCCTTCAAGACAACATCTTTTCCAGGGACACCTGTGCATATTTCAGCAAGACAGTGCAAAATCTCATCCTGCACACGTTACCAAGTCTGTGGAGGAAAAGGTGTGCGTGCTGGACTGGCCTGCCTGCAGTCCCAACCCGTCCTCAGTAGAGAATGTGTGGTGCATTTTGAAACAAATTGCATCAACGGAGAATCAGGACTGTTGCACCTTAAGACTTGTTTGCAGGAAGTATGGGACAAAATGACACCTGAGACACTGAATCACTTGGTGTCCTCAGTCACTAAATGTCTTTTAAGTGTTGTGAAGAGGAACAGCAGCATCACTCCGTGGTAAACGCTTTACTGTCCCAACTTTTTTGGAATGTGTTGCAGCATCAGGATTGAAGTGGGTGTTTATTTTGAACAAAGAGTAAAACTGATGAGGTATTGCATCAAAGAACGTGCTGCTGTTTTGTTTTCAAGTGTAACACAGGACACAGATGATTTACACATCATTATCAGTTTTAATTTTGATTTTACACACTGTCCCAACTTGTTCTGATTTGGGGTTGTAAAAGATACTTTTTTCTCCCCCAAGGATCACATAATAGATTAGCTGACACAACCTCTGCAGCAGTTGAAATACACTGAGCCTTTTAAACTGATGCAAGTAATTCCTACAGCTGTCCCAACTTTTATTTTTAATTTACAACAAACTATCTGTGCAAAGGCAGTGTTGGAAAAGCCTGTTACTACACTGTCTGAAGCATTATTGGAAAAAGGTAATTAAAGGAAGTCAGAGCTTTTAGGGTTTCAGTTTATAGCAGGATAATGAGCCAAAAAAAGCACATCCAGGCTGTGTAGAAGGGAAGAACAAGACACTGAGCTTCAAATGATGGAATGGCAGCACAGTGTCCAGACTTTCCAGACATAGAGTGAAAGCAAAACAGACAACTGCAACACATTTGATGGGAACCTCTGCAACAGTGTTGTACATATATACAGGGTGGGTGAAAAGAAACTAGGCATTAAAAATTGGCTATAGAACTTGTAGTATCACTGGAGTCATGATGAAAACAGTCCCTAAATAGACGATAGTAAATAGGATTTCATATTTCATATTCATAGGACTTGGAGGTTCTCAGTAATATCCCAAACGACTTCCTTCAGAAGACTGTGCATTCCATCCCCGGCTGTTTGAGGAAACTGGATGACGGCACCGGTGCCTACATTGAAATTTAAAAATTTGCTTTCATTTTCCTATGTAATAAAGTACATGTACATTTTATTTCAATAAATTTGTATTAGAAATATGGACTTTATTACTGATTTTTAATGCCTAGTTACTTTTCACCCACCATGTACATTTTCAACTGCATTCATAGCTGTTTAGTGGCTGAAGTAGCTAAATGATATTTTTGTCATCTTTTTGAGTAGTTTACTGCAACTACAAATATTGGGCCATTAAAGGAAAGGAGTGCTTTTTATTTTTATTTTACTCAAGTACTGTAAGTACAATTTTGAGGTATCTGTACTTTGAGTATTTTCATTTTCTGTTACTCCACTACATTTTATAACTTTCATTACTAGTTACTTTTCATTACCAGATTAATATAAAAATACAGTATAATTATAAGACCTAATTGATCTATGGTGGAAAATTCACAAGCTACCCAGCAGTACTTCAAATTAAATGCATGTTAAAACTAGCTCCCCCTTTACCAGCTGCAACATTAAATGTGATGTACTCAATGATGCATCACTAATTATACTACAATAATATAATATTCAGGAATGTGAAATACATAATGAGTACTTTTAGTCAAGTATGTTTTGATGTTAATACTTTTGTACTTTTACTTAAGTAACATTTTGAATGCAGAACTTTTACTTAAGTAAAGAATCTGAGTACTTCTTCCACCACTGGCTCTAAACATACTTTAAATGGACCCCAAGGTAATTGATTACTGGGAGAAGTCCAGTAGTCTCCGATGAGTGCAAGCGTGTTCTTCTGTCTCAACGCGTTCTCGTCTTCATACAAGTTGTGTGTCTTGGTTACAGTGGTGGCTCTCGAAGTCATTTCATACGTGCAGCCTTTGGGTGTGATGCTTATTTCCAACAGACCCTCGTCCTTCACAATGTTACTTGGCCTGCAAGCTGGAGCCACCAGTTTAGCTGTCACTGTTGAAAGTCTGTTGCTTGTAGACTTCTAGATTTCTACCTCTATGAGGGTGATTTTGTTCATTTTTCGTGTTTGAGAGCTGTTGAGTCAACTTCATGGTCACTTAGGAGGCTGTAGTTTATTCATTATATTTTTGTAATAAATTACATTGAAAATTGTTTCTATTGTAACATTGTGCCCACCCCTTTTATATTGAGGCTATATACGTTATGTTTCTCTTTCAGAATGTATTTGTTTGTTCATTTGTTTTTTGAGTCAGTCAGTTCCTTTTTGATAGTTTCCCCATGTCAGATGGTCAGTATCAATCCTCAGACCTGCATGAAAACTCTGGGCTTCTGGGAGAAAAGTTTAGCCTGAATGTGGTTCGTTATCATTCAGTGAAGTGATACTGAGCAGCAAAAACGGACTTTGGTCACATCCTGAGCAGTGAACCAATGCAACAGTATGATTGTGAAGCAAGATTGTTCTTTGAAAAAAAAGCCTACTGCTTAAACTTAAAGACATTTTTTGTCCCAGACTGTCAGACTGATGTAGGGTTACAGATCAAATCTCAGACAAGGTGTACAAATTATTTCAGTTGGAAAGGATTTGGAGTGAATGATTTTGATACTGAACAAAAACTTGCCGTTTCCTGTTCGCTCCAACTACATGAGCTTCTTTTCTTTCAGGACAAACCTCAGAGTTGCTCAAATTTGACAACTGTTGTGAAAGGCAGCATTGCTAGTTAGCAAGAAATACCAGGGCCCTGGAAGTGGAACAACTCCAGTAAACTGGACAGTGTAATTTCTCATGTTATTAGTTATACCTGCGCTTTTCTTGATGTGGCTTATCAGCTTATCAGTCTCTGGCATGTCTTAAATGTCCATCATGTCTTGTTTTAGCCATTTGGAAATGTCTGAATGTCAAATCAATTCTATTTCACACTGGGCTCCAACAGTATATTGTTGAAAGCACTGTACAAATAATTTCAATAAGAATCACAAACAACTGGTTTAGAGCTTTGGTAACAAAAAAACAGCCTCCCTCAAAGTTATGT